CCCTGTGGGCATTCGCGGCGAAGTGCTGCGTGCTATGACATATGTCGCACTCCATAGTTTTACCAGTGGCATCGTTCGGGTTTCCCCGACGCCCCTGACCTTTTCCTGACGCATGCCTACGCTTCCTGCCTGCACCTAAGAATATCTTTATATTGTGGCCCGGCAAGGGATGCTAGGAATGCTAACCTGCCTCTGCCATGCAATCGCCGACGCCTACCTTAACCCTTACCTCGACCCTTGCCTTTCCCCTTGAGTGCCCGTCGGACGATGCGCCGTACTTTACGAAGTGGCTTCTTCATAAATCGCCTCCACCTGCGTTTATGTTTATGGTATCCTAAGAATGACCATTGCGCCTGTTGCTCTTCCGCGAGGTATGTAGGCATATCGGAGTTGTCAAGGGCAGCAGCCTCGTCGTCCGAAGACGCGTCGGCGTCAGTACCGGAGTCGAAATCGGACTCAGCAGGTTGCCCCGCTGAGCCTAGTAGGACTGTGGCTTGCGTTGGGGATGCCGCGTCGGCCGGCCCCCGAAACCTGGCCCAGGAGTCTTGCGACCCCGAAGCTGGTCCACCACTCTGAGCCAGTAGTGTAGCGGTGTGAATTGGTTGCGGATCGTCATTCCAGACGTTATTCCCAACCCTCCTTGGTTGGGTATTCGTTTTGAATAGAGCAGTGTGGTCTCCACTCCGTCCTTCCTCCTCCCCCCTCCCTCCCTGCCTCTTCCTGTCTTGCCTGCGGGGGGCTGCGATCTGTGAAACTGTCACCGCTTCCGAGGCCTGCTGGGGGGCCCAGCACAGTGAGGGCCACACGCAGATTCAAATTAGACCTCGCCATCCCTGGGGGGGGCTGCGATCTGTGAAACTGTCGCCACTTTCGAAGCCTGCTGGGGGGCCCAACACAGTGAGGGCCACACGCAGATTCAAATTAGACCTCGCCATCCCTAGGGGGGCTGCGATCTGTGAAGCTGTCGCCACTTTCGAAGCCTGCTGGGGGGCCCAGCACAATGAGGGCCACACGCAGATTCATACTAGACCTCGCCATCCCTCGGGGGGCTGCGATCTGTGAAACTGTCGCCACTTTTGAGGCCTGCTGGGGGGCCCAGCACAGTGAGGGCCACACGCAGATTCAAATTAGACCTCGCCATCCCTGGGGGGGCTGCGATCTGCGAAACTGTCGCCACTTTCGAGGCCTGCTGGGGGGCCCAGCACAGTGAGGGCCACACGCAGATTCAAATTAGACCTCGCCATCCCTGGGGGGGGGCTTCGATCTGTGAAACTGTCGCCGCTTTCGATGCCTGCTGGGGGGGCCCAGCGAAGTGGGGGCCACACGCAGATTCAAATTAGACCTCGCCATCCCTGGGGGGGCTGCGATCTGTGAAACTGTCGCCACTTTCGAGGCCTGCTGGGGGGCCCAGCACAGTGAGGGCCACGGGCAGATGCAAATGAGACCTCGCCATCCCTGGGGGGGCTGCGATCTGTGAAACTGCCGCCACTTTCGAGGCCTGCTGGGGGGCCCAGCATAGTGAGGGCCACTGGCAGATTCAAATGACACCTCGCCATCCCCGGGGGGTGCGATCTGTGAAACTGTCGCCACTTTTTGGAGGCCTGCGGGGGGGGCAGCACAGTGAGGGCCACGGGCAGATTCAAGTGAGACCTCGCCATCCCTGGGGGGCTGCGATCTGCGAAACTGTTGCCGCTTTCGAGGCCTGCTGGGGGGCCCAGCACAGTGACGCCACGGGCAGATTCAAATGGGACCTCGCCATCCCTGGAGGGCTGCGACCTGTGAAACTGCCGCCATTTTCGAAGCCTGCTGGGGGGCCCAGCACAGCGAGGGCCACGCGCGGATTCAAATTAGACCTCGGCATCTCTGGGGGGGCTGCGATCTGTGAAGCTGTCGCCACTTTCGATGCCTGCTGGGGGGTCCTGCACAGTTACGCCACGGGCATGTTCAAACGAGACCTCGCCATCCCTGGGGGGGCTGCGATCTGCGAAACTGTCGCCACTTTCGAAGCCTGCTGGGGGCCCAGCGCAGTGACGCCACGGGCAAATTCAAATGGAACCTCGCCATCCCCTGAAGGCTGCGATCTGCGAAACTGTCGCCACTTTCGAAGCCTGCTGGGGGGCCCAGCACAGTGGCGCCACGCGCGGGCCCAAATTAAACCTCGCCACCCGTGCGGGGCTGCGATATGCGAAACTGTCGCCACTTTCGAGGCCTGCTGTGATCCCCGTTTTCGAAGTGACCAGGAGTGCTCAGGAATTGTAAACCATCAGCTTTATCAAGCCCTTTTCCTGTAGCCAGTGTCCTACGAGTCTCCCGGATTCCGTCTGCAGACATATCTAACCCTCGCTCCGTCATCGCCCCCCTTATAAGAGTGTCCTAAACTATTTGCGCCCCGCATTTGCGCAGGGGTTGGGTACGTCGCCAGGGTAATTAGCAGGTTGCCCTGCGCTTGCCTCAACGTGGAAGGTCTCGGTTCGGTGACCGTGACTGAAAACACCACCAGTCTTGCCAGGGGTTCTCTCAGCAATGTGCGCATATGACCTCATGCGTTCAAGTGGAGAGTCACACTGTTGCTCGTCCCTCGGCATGTGGTGGTTTAGTGGCTGCAGGAGCTGCTGCGCACGCGATGTCCCCACCCCCAGGGCCCTGGATAACATAACAATGAGAATTTAAAAGTTTAAGATGTTAAAGCCCGCCGTTTCAGCTTCATAGCGGACTATCTCGACGCGTGCCAAAGTCCTGTCGATCCGTTCTCCCGCATGGACTCGGAAGTCAATGAGAGCTGTACCAGAAATGAGTTGGCGCTCCTCTTCTAGATTCTCGAACTCCGTGCTTAAGAGGAACATGATGTAGGTGACGCCGTCGGTATGGCGGCCACCTATGTTGACACCAAAGTTGACAACTGCTGGGGGAACTCTCATGGCTATGGTCCGCGCGGGGCCTCCCAAGTCTCGCTGCAAGGCTGCAGCTTGTTGGAAGGGCGTCATGCTGCCTGTGGTCACGTTGATCCAGGCATGCACCTCGCGGACGAATTCGCGGAAAGGTACTCGACCGGACGGGCCCCGATGGGGGCTGGTCGTTATTGTGTCGTCGCCGCCATGCACATGTCCTACCGCGCACCCGATAGCGACCCACGTGAGCCCAAAGATAGTAATACCAACCCAATGGCCTCGCAGGTCGTGGTCGGGTGTAGTCGGTTGGGGCTTTCGATGTGTGGTCGTTAGCCTGCGTGGGGGTGGAGGCGGCACAATGTCGTATCGCATGTTTCCATGCATTATGCTGTCGATGAAGTTTCCAAGTGGAGTAGGTGGGTAAGCTTCAGGAGTGTAGTAGCGCAGGGATGCAGGACGCAAGTAAGAGGCCTCCACGTAGGCAGAGGTGTCACTGCAAGTATCCTCGCTATGCTGCGTATGTGTATACATTCCTCCGCGCAAACCGCCTGCACCCTGATGTTCCACCACGTCAGTAGTCCACCAGATAGTGCCGTGGATGGTGGAGTAGAGCTAGAGCTGACCACCATGGGCCAGCTCCGCTACCAAGTTTGAAATGGGTTGGGAGGCCCAACCAGCAGCTTCGCCGTAGGCGAAGCCCAGCTCCCGCTCTGTTGTACCGTAGTAACGATAGTCCCAGTAGCAGGGGGCGAGCCATCTCAGGCAGTTTTGGTATCGATGGCACATGGTACACCTCGCGCTGAAGTGTAGTCAGATCTGGGCGGCCGGCCGCTTTGAGCCAAGCAGCCGCGGATGCACGCTAGTTCCCACTCACATGCAACGCCCAGCTCAATTTAGAGTACCTGACTCATCCCCTACCCCCTCCCCTTGGTTTGGACGGGGGGAGCCCGACGGGTTAGAGCGTCCAAGATGGCCCAAGACAGATCCAACAGGGCCTCCGGTATCCAACATGGAATCCAGGACGGCTCAAGGAAACCTAAGATGGCTCAAGTTAAGATCTCAAAAAAGCATCCAAGAGGCCACAAGACCACCCCAAGACAGCTCCAAGTGGTCACAAAGCCTCCCACTGATAACCCGACAAGCCGAAAACTCTATCAAAATCCAACGGTTTTTCCGTGATTGCTGCCGTCTCGATTGTTCCGCTTCCCGTGGACCGAGGCCTAAAGACAGGCTCACAATCGCTCAAAAGACCCCAAAAGAGGCTCGGAAGAGGACCGGGACGGCTTCAAGAGCGCCCTCGAGCACCCCAAGAGGGTCACAGCAGGCGAGTTGTCGGGCTCTGGACCCTACGGAAGGATGCCCCGAAGGCCAGAAGGGAGTCCCAAAACAGCCCAAAGATGGCACCAGAAGGCCCCTGCACAATGTTCCCCCAATGGTCTTCCCCCCCGTCAGGGAGGAACACGCAATTCGCTAGCGTGGCCGCACTCCCGCTCGACATGTCACATCGTTTCACGACACAGACGTCCCGAAAAGCAGGTTGCGACGGTGACTCGCCGTAGGCGTCTTCGAAAGATACACAGATGAGTTCATGAGTGGGAAGACGGACCCCAAGGAAACACGACATGACCCCAAGAGAGGTCACAGTCAGGGCCCCGCCATGGCCCAAATGAAGTTTCAACAGGGCCCCAAGAGGCCTCCAAGCCCAGAAGGGGGGGACGACGACGAAGAAAGAGGATTTGCTTCAACAGTGAGAAGAAAAGTCCACTGGCACCGACACCGCGACTCAGGCCCAGACGAAGACAGAGGAACGACGGTAAGCGAGAGGGAAAAGAGCTGCAAGCAGGCAAGCAGGCAAGCAGGCAAGCAGACAAGCAGAGGGGAGCGAAGGTGGTGCGCACGACCTTCTTCATCTTCTTCAAGATGCTGAGCAGCCCCATCTTTGCCGAAACGCTGCAGGAGGGGTACCCTGTCCGCGGCGGGTTTCGTGAGGAGAAATCGCCGCGAGGAGAAGCACCAGGCGAGAAGACTCCTCCTCCTCCTCCGCCTCCTTCTCCGCCTCCTCCCCCTCTTCCCTCGTTCCCTCCCTGCTCTTCTGGGCTCGCCCAGGGGGACCTGCAGGCTGTACTCATTTGGGCCCCAACCTGCTGCCCCGCCGAGCCTCATGCGCGCCGCCCCCGCCTGCAATCTGGCGTGCGCGGGCAGCCACGCCACAGCCTTGGACGAGGCCCAACCGCCTCTCTGCCGGCTGGGCTGAGCCGCTCGCCACCTTCCCCCGTGCGTAGCCGGGATGTGGCCGCGGTGGCGCACGCTGCTCATGCCGCGCGCCTTCATTGTGCGCTTGACCACCGACGACGACGACGACGACGACGACAGCGACGACGACGACGACGACGACGACGACGACGACGACGACGACGACGACGACGACTACGACGACGACGACGACGACGACGACGACGACGACGAGCTTGGGGAAAGACTTTCGTCGCTCCAGCTGGCAAAGTTGCTCCTGCGGTTGTTCCTCATGTCCTTTCTGATGTTCCTCGACCTGCTTGTGCCGCAACTGCCATGGAAGGTGGTGTTGCTGCGCCTGGATACTAAGGTGCCGCCAGGTACCTGTCTGTCCCCGCCGCGCGGATGCTAACAGCAGGTGACCTGGTGCGGCCGAAGATGGCTGTGGCTCCACGTGCAGCGCTTAGCGGGCCACCGCCGCCGTTCAAGCCATGCCATATGCCCGCGCCGCCTAGCGCCTCCCCTCGTACATGTAGGAGTTCGGCTCCGCGCTGGTTGATGAGTTTCGGCCACAGTGCTGCCGACCCTGATGAGTTCGCCAACCCTCGTAGCTTTTCGATTAGTGCTGCTGCCGAGACGGACCCAATGGACTTCTGGGAACCAGCCGACTTCTGGGAACCAGCCGACTTCTTGACCTCTTTGCGACCTTCGTCCGCACGCGTGAGTGGCCCCAGCTGCTGCTCCTTTGTGCCATCTCGCTGATCCCCAAGCACGAAACCGCTCTGACTGCTGCCGATATCCGGCCCAGCAGTCGTAGCAGCAACAACACCTGCGTAATGATCAGCATCCTCATCAGAATCAGCATCACCCTCCTCCTCATCATCATCATCATCATCAGCATCAGCATCAGCATCATCATCATCATCATCATCATCATCATCATCATCATCATCATCATCATCATCATCATCATCATCACCATCACCATCACCATCACCATCATCATCATCAGCATCATCATCGAGGGTGCGCCGATGGATCTCCCCGGGAGGGGGGGGTAGGATCCCCCCCCCCTTCCCCGATCCGTCGTCGGAGACCCCCCCCCTCCCCCCCTTTCCCCGATCCGTCGTCGGGGATCCCCCCCCCCTCCCCCCCTTTCAAAAGAGGGGGGGTCCGACCCCCCCCCCCTCCCCCCTTTGGCCACGCTGCCCCCTTGACTCCGGAAGCCGACTTCCGCCACCCCCACCCCTAGTCCTCACCATAACCCACGCCCCTAATCCTAACCCCAACCACTAACCCCAGCACCATAGAGTACTCACTACCCATTACTCACTACCCACTACTGGCTACTCGCTATTCGCTACTCACTTCTCACTACCCCCTACTCACTACTCACGACTCACTATCAACTACTCACTACCCACCACCCACTACTCACTACTCACTCCTCACTTCCCACTACTCACTACACACGAAGCACTACTCCCTACTCCCTACTCACTACTCACTAATCACTACTGATTACCCACTACCCACTATCCACTATTCACTACTCACTACTAACTACTCATTGCCCACAAGTCACTACTCACTACCCACTACTCGCTACTCGCTACTCCCTACTCCTTACCCAATACTGACTACACAGTACTCAGTACTCACTACTCGCTACTCCCATACTCGCTACTCAATCCTCACTACTCACTCCCCGCTACTCACTATTCACTACTCACTACTCACTACTCACTTCCCACTACTCAATACTCACTACTCACGAAGCACTACTCCCTACTCCCTACTCACTACTCACTAATCACTACTGATTACCCACTACCCACTATCCACTATTCACTACTCACGACTAACTACTCATTGCCCACAAGTCACTACTCACTACCCACGACTCGCTACTCGCTACTCCCTACTCCCTACACAATACTGACTACACAGTACTCAGTCCTCACTACTCGCTACTCCCATACTCGCTACTCAATACTCACTACTCACTCCCCGCTACTCACTATTCACTACTCACTACTCACTACATACTAATCCCTACTCGCTAGTCACTACATAGTCTCTAGTCACTAATCCCTACTCGCTAGCCACTGGTCACTACTCATTACCCACTACCCCCTACTCACAATCGCTACTCACTACACATTATTCGCTACCCACTTCTTACTACTCACTGCAAACTACTCCCTACTCCCTACTCCCTACTCACTACTCACTACTCGCTACTCCCTACTCGTAACTCACTAATCACTACCCACTACTCACTACTGACTACTCTCTACTCACTATTCACTACCCACTACGCCCTACTCACTCCTCACTACTCACTATTCGCTACTCACTACTCGCTACTCACTACTAACTACCCACTGCCACTACCCACTACTCTCTATTCATCACTACTCACTACTCACGACTCACTACGCACTACGTACTACTCAGTAGTCACTACTCACTACTCACTACTCACTACTCGCTACTCACTACTCGCTACTCACTAGCTACTCACTACTCACTACTCACTACTCATTACTCACTACTCACTACGCACTACGCACTACGCACTACCCACTACTCACTACTCACTAATCACTACTCCCCACCCACTACTCACTACCCGCTGCTCACTACCCACTACTCAGTACTCCATATTCCCTACACAGTACTCACTACTCGCTACTCACTACTCCCTACTCACTATCCACTATTCGCCACTCACTACTCACTTATCAGTACACACTACTCACTTTTCACTACTCACTACTCCCCACTCCCTACTCCCTACTCGCCACTCACTACCCAATACTCACCACCCAAAACTCACTACTCACTACGCACTAACTCACCATTCACTACTCACCACTCCCTACTCCCAACTCCGTACTCCCTACACGAGGGGGGGGGGGTCCGAACCCCCCCCCCCCTTTCCAGCACCAAGGGGGGGAGGGGGGGGGGGGGGTCCGGACCCCCTCCCCCCCTTCAAGGGAGACCCCCCCCTTCAAGGGAGCGGGGGGGGGGTTCGGGACCCCCCCCCCTTAAGGGTGGGAGGGGGAGGGGGTCCGGACCCCCCCCCCCTTGAAGGGGGGAAGGGGGGGGTGTTCTGGACCCCCCCCCCTAAGTGTATTCAGAGAGATCCACTGGCGCACTTTCATCATCATCGTCATCATCATCATCATCATCATCATCATCATCATCATCATCATCATCATCATCATCATCATCATCATCATTATCATAATCATCATCATCAGCATCATCATCATCACCATCATCATCATCATCATCGTCATCATCATCATCATCATCATCATCGTCATCGGTATCGTCGTCGTAATCGTGATCATCATCATCAGCAGCATCATCATCGTGATAATCATCCTCATCTCCATCATCACCATCATCATCATCACCATCATCGTCGATTCCATAATAAGCATCATCACCGTTACAAAAATCATCAGCATCACAATATTCATCTTCATTATCACAACAAACATCATTATCATCATCATCATCGTTATGATTCTCATTATCATCATCATCCTAATCATGATTATCGTCGTCGTCCTCGTCATCATCGTCGTCATTGTCGTCGTCGTCATCATCAGTATCATCATCACCACTACCATCATCACCATCAGCAGAAGCATCATCATCAACATCATCACCATCACCATCATCATCAAGATCATCCTCATCCACATCCCCCGTCGTCGTCGTCGACGCCATCGGCATCGTCATCGTCATCTTCGTCATCGTCGTCGTCATCCTCCTCCGTCTCCTCCTAATCATCATCAGCAGCAGCATTATCACCACCAACACAACCATCATCACTGTCACCACCACCACCACCACCATCATCATCATCATCATCATCATCAGCATCAGCATCAGCATCAGCATCAGCATCAGCATCAGCATCAGCATCAGCATCAGCATCAGCATCAGCATCATCATCATCATCATCATCATCATCATCATCATCATCACAACGACCCTAAAAACAGTGGGCTATCGAGTCCTGTGCGAGACCCAGAGAATGAACCGATGCGGAAGGAGGTGAGAGGGGGGTACACGGATACAGACGCAGGCGAGCAGCCGCAGCCCTGCGCGCCCTGGGGGACCCAGGGCCACGCCCGCCGCCGGCCCCCGCTCGAAGGGATGCCTCAAGCCTGGCAGGGCTCCTCCTCGGAGGCGAAGAGCATGCCAGCTTCAACGCTGAAGCCGCGGGGCAGCGGATGTGGCCCCTGAAACCCGGGGCCACTCTTATGTCGGGCGTGTCCCCCTACAGGGGGCCTTTCGACGAAAAATAGAAAATACCCCAACAATGCCCCAAAAAGATATAAAAAATACTCAAAAAATAGTCCCCAGACTATTTTTGGAGTATTTGGAGACTTTTTGGGGGTATTTCTTATTTTTCGTCGAAAACCCCCTTGTAGGGGGACAGGCCCGACTTCAGGCCACTCCCGCCGCCGCTCGGAGGAGCGCTCTGAGCCTCGCACGGGGCGGGGGCAGGGCGGGGCAGGGCCCCCCTCGCGGAGGGCCCTCCCGCGGCTCCGCGCGCGCGCGCCCCTGGCACCCGCCCAGGCCTCCGAGGGATGGACCCGCCCAGACCCGCGGCGATCGGCGGCGGACCCGAGGCCCAAAGCGCTGCACCTGGAGGGGGTCGCTTCGGCCCCGGAGAGGGGGCCCACTTTCGGGCCCCTGGCGAGCGCGAGCGAGCGAGCGAGCGCGCCCCCTCTTTCGGGCCCCCGGGCGGGCAGAAGTGGATCTGGGCTGGGAGTCGTTCCCTCGGGCCCTCACGAAGACGGGCGGGGTCCTGGAGTCCTCCTCCCTCCTCCTCCTCCTCCTCCTCCCTCCTCCTCCTCCCTCCTCCCCCCTCCCCCTCCCCTCCCCTCCCCCTCCCTCCTCCTCCTCCTCCTCCTCCTCCTCCTCCTCCTCCTCCTCCTCCTCCTCCTCCTCCTCCTCCCGATCCTCCTCCTCCTCCACCTCCACCTCCTCCTCCCCCCGCTGTCGGCCTTCCAGGGGTCCTCCCGAGCCCAAGGACCGTCATAAGCATTCGGGAG